TCTTGAATTGTGGTGCCCAGAATTGGACACAATATTTCAGGTGTGGTCTAACCAAAGCAGAATAGAGGGGTATCCAAGCTACCATTGCCTCCACATATTGTTAGATTGCAGCTCTTTTTATTCCTAGGGCTGATGGAAGTTGAAGTTGAAGAAAATCTGAAGTATCATATATTCTGCTGCTGTAAAATGTCAGCTGTGATAGTCCATAGCAGCAACACTATTTTCATTGTGACTTTTAAACTGTTATGCCTATTTGCCTCATTATTTCAAGCTTCTGCGAACACAGACTATTGCTGCGAAATGCTTTTCCACGTTATGTCTTCAAGATCCTGTAGCGTTCATTTATTTTTTAGTGTTAATGCTATGTGTCGCACATTATATAGATGGATATTTGTATGGAAACGTTCTAAGAATAACTTGACTGACAAGCAAAGAACTTTCAAGTCATAATGAAAAATTCCGGGTTATTTTTCCAATTGAGTTTAGAAGGAAATGTAGTCATATACACAAGAGACTAGGGCCTCTGTAGAGAAATCTGATGCTTTCCAGCAGAATGCATTTACTGATTAGGCCACAAGAACCCAGGAGCATATGGGCTGAACAATGCTTTCAGGTCATGTGATGTCTGGCCTCCAGATTCTTGACGGCAACACTTACCCTCCCCTTCTGTACAAATTGTGCAACGCTATTAGAAAGCTATTCAACCATGCCCAGCAACCTTACCAATTGTTTTTATCTGTCTCTCAATCATTACTAGGCTAATATCCCAGCAAGTAAGAAAAACATTGAGAGATCTTTATCTGCTCCAAAACTTGCACATGAATCACCATCGTCGTCGTCGTCGTCGTCTTTTTTGAAGACAGCTTTGCTTCTTGTTCTCCAGAAAGAAAGACAAATATGCAGTGTAGCATGTACCTCTGGAATAAGTTCAGATTGCACCCAATGTCTTGTGACTCAGTGAAAATGTGTGTTGAAATCATAATTCTGAAACATCATTTGGGAACTTGCTCTTCTGCCATATCTCTGTATACGAACCCACACGATCCCTTCGATCATCCGGAGAGGCCTTGCTCTCAATCCCACCAGCATCGCAGTGGTGGTGGCCCCTCGACTCTGGAACTCACTTCCTAAAGACATCAGACAGGCCCCAACTTTGGCAGTCTTCAGGAGGAGCTTGAAGACGTGGCTGTTCCAGTGTGCCTTCCCGGAATAATGATCCCATAGCAATTTGTCCTCCAAAGCACTTTACATTTCTTTAGGTCTGCTCGTATGCCCTTCCACAAACACCGGTATCACCTTTCGTTCATGTCCCAGCATTATTTCCAATTTTAACTCTACATTTGGCCTTCCCACTGTTTTTAATTGTGTGTTGTCTTATTGATAATGTTGTGTATTTTATTGTCTGTGTTTTTAATTGCTTATATTGTTGTTATTATTGCATGTATTGTTGTGTTTGGGCTCGGCCTCATGTAAGCCGTACCGAGTCCCTTGGGGAGATGGTAGCGGGGTACAAATAAATTATTATTATTATTATTATTATTATTATTATTATTATTATTATATTCAGCAACAGGAAATTTAGATTAATGCTATTTTATAGCACAGTGTAACAAACTGGAAAGTATGCAATATCCCACAGAGAATGTTTTGGTGTGCCTCCTTAATGTTAGAGTAATTCCAGAATACTAGGGCTGGGCGGTTTCGTTTCGTTAATTCGTAATTCGTTAATAATTCGTTAATTTTTTCAATTACAAAACGATAACAAACCATTCTGGAGCAATTATTAAAAAAAACGAATTTTCAAAAACGTTTTGTAAATGCTTCGTATTTCGATATTGTATTCGTTTTGTTATTGTTTTGAGGTCGTTTCGTTATTATTTCTGCATGTCTGGGCCAGTTTTATGGTTTAATTAGTGAAAAAAAATTATAATATCACACCAACAGTCAACAACAGAGGGAGAGGGAAGCTTCAGAAGGTTTTGGAGGTTTTTTAGCGTATTTCGCGGTCGCGTCCGCCATTAACGAATCGATTCGTTATTGTTTCGGAAATCGATTCGTTATTTTTTTTACCATTTACGAAATTTCGTAAATATCAAACTTCTTAAAAGGAAAATTTTGTAATTATTTTAAATATCGAAACAAAAAAACCCCCCAAATACAAATCGATTTTAGAAACAAATTTTTTCTTGATCAACCAGGCCTACAGAATACAACTGTTGACATCCACAGTTCCAGACAGAGGTCCAGACATAAGCACACAGGGTTTTTTTGTGTCTCAATTAGATGAAAGGTAGGGACCATGTCCATCAGATGTCATTGGCCTGCAAATCCAATCATTCCTGACCACTAGTTTTATCGCCTGTGGCATTCCCCAACACTGTCAAAGATGTCTCTTTCTAGGGCCTTAGTAAACTGCACATTTGTGGCCCTTGTATAATGTTTTTATCAAGGAGACTCAAACTCATACATGTTTTTATGGATATTGTTTTATTTGATTTTATATTTAACTAGCCGTCCCCTGCCATGCATTGCTGTGGCCCACATGGGAGTTTTGTGTGGGAGGTTTGGCCCAGTTCTATCGTTGGTGGGGTTCAGAATGCTCTGTGATTGTAGGGGAACTATGAATCCCAGCAACTACAACTCCCAAATGTCAAGATTCTATGTTCCCCAAACTCCACCAGTGTTCACATTTGGGCATATTGAGTATTCGTGTAGAGTTTGGTCCAGATCCATCATTGTTTGAGTCCACAGTGCTCTCTGGATGTAGGTGAACTACAACTCCAAAACCAAAGGACACTGCCCACCAAACCCTTCCAGTATTTTCAGGTGGTCAAGGGAGAACTGTGTGCCAAGTTTGGTTCAATTCCATCATTAGTGGAGTTCAGAATGCTCTTTGATTGTAGGTGAACTATAAATCCCAGCAACTACAACTCCCAAATGACAAAAGCAAATTTTTTGAGTGAAGGACATACATTGGGTTGTTAGGTGTTTTGTGTCCAAATTTGGTGTCAATTCGTCCAGATCGTTTTGAGAGATTAGAGAGATGGGCCAAAACTAACAAAATGAAGTTCAGCAGGGACAAATGCAAAATACTCCACTTTGGCAGGAAAAACAAAATGCAAAGATACAGAATGGGGGACAATGCCTGGCTCGAGAGCAGTACGTGTGAAAAAGATCTTGGAGTACTCGTGGACAACAAGTTAAACATGAGCCGACAATGTGATGTGGCGGCAAAAAAAGCCAATGGGATTTGTCTAGATCTAGGGAACTAATGCTACCCCTCTATCCCGCTTTGGTTAGACCACAACTGGAACACTGTGTCCAATTCTGGGCACCACAATTGAAGAGAGAT